CCTAAACCCTAAACCCGAAGGCCCCTTCGAAATTGGCAACCTGGAAGTGGCCAGCTCCTTCGTCTGCAAGCAATGGCTGGTATCTGTTTCATCATTCTTTGGAATCCTGTACACGTTAAGTAGCAACATGCAGTTCTTTATACATATGTATATATGCATATGTGTGTATACATTCATACATGCATACATACACAGACAGACACAGACAGACACAGACAGACCCATACAGACACAGACAGACGACAGACTGACAGACGTACATACCTACGTACGAACGTACATAGTACATACATACATACATACATATACATACATACATACATACATACATACATACATACATACATACATACATACATACGTAGCTATCTTCATGTGTATATAGACTTGTCAAGTGAAGGTTCAGGTGGCGGTCTCGAGCTCCGGAGGGCTGCTACTCCGAGATTCCCAGGCTCCCCTTGTTGGTCCCAGCTCTATGTAAGCAATGTAAGGTTTAGGGTTTAGGGTTTAGGGCATAGGGGCAACCAGTCTGGTGGTTGGTCTTTCAGTTGCCAAAGCTGGCTGAAAAGATCAGGCGACTTAGTAGCTTCACTTATACCCAAGTTACCTATAGCTATGTCCGGTTTCCCTGATCCTGGAAGTGGGAAAACCATGGCTTTCCGAGGACAGCTCTTGGTGCAAATCTGCACTGACCTGAATGTTGGCCACCTGGCAGCAAGGGTACACTGGTCCAAGCCTGCACAAGCAGTCTATGCTCGGTTCTTGTGAAGCTCTAGATAGTAGTTGCGCCAGGCACGGGTGGGCATGCAGTAGAGGCGGACGTGCCGTCTAAAGAGATGTCAATGCAATCTGCTGCTCGTATCAGACGTAGAACGGGAGATGTGTCTGGGGACGTCTCCAAACGTTTCGGAACACCCTAAACCCTAAACCCTAAAAAAATTCGCGACTGAGGCGCCCCGGTTCCAGAGTCGACCAGGTCGGAGGCTTCGCTACCGGCGTCCTCCGAAAGCTTAGGCTGGCCGGGGGGCCTGGACGGGGGGACGTGAGGATGTGGGGGCTGTTCAGGGTTTGCGCAAACTGTGCGATCCCTTACGATTGATTCAGGGTTTGGGGTTTTGGGGCTTGGGGTTAAGTGCTAAGTGTTGTCATGGGTTGAGGGTTTGAGGGATCGCTTGGATAGGGTAGGGTTTAGGCTTGCTAGCCATCAAGTAAATGCAGATCTTTTCCTTGATGTGTCTTCCAGCTTTCCAGCCATCTCAAGCCGTTTTTTCATTCTACTGCCAGACTTGTTTCAGAGACGTGCTGCAGAGACGATGGCTTTCCAGCCATATCATCAGCCAAGTAGGAATCCGGCTGCGAACCCATGCGTCCTACCCCAGACTCAAGATTTTTAAAGGCCCTCATGGCTCCGTAATGAAGCCCTCACATTGAGCCTGACACCTGGCACCCCACACGGCCCCGAGCCCCCGAACATCCGCGCGCGGGGCGCAGGAGCGGAGTCGCAAGCTTCCGGCAAGAAGGAGGCCTTTGATCGGAAAGGGCTCGCGGAGAAACAGGTGCACTGTAAATCCATGGAAGACCGTTGAACACTTCACCATCTTGACAAGTGGGGTCTCAAGACCGCAAAATGAAAACCAGTCTGAAAGGACATGAACAACTTAAAACAGGTCTTCGAAGGCTTACATGTGCGAAAGCAACGAAGGACCACGTGAAGCCGGGTCAGTCCCAATACTCCACAACAGTCTCCCCTCGCTGCGCCAGCCCACTAGAAGGAATTTCCAAACTAGGGTTTAGGGTTTAGGGTTTAGGGGGACCCCCGAGCTGGAGATCCAGACAAACAAGAAGGGATTCTTTAGTCGTCGGAGCCCTTCAAACATCTGGGACCTGTCTGCCAAGAGCACCTGTACTTTAAGTTGGGTTGTATATTCAAAGTCTAGGTCTCGGTTCAACATGCGTCTTTTGATGATCCAGCAGGCACGTGATACGATATGCTGGAACAGTCATTCAGCCGAGGCACTGGAAACATGAAATTGTGCAGTTTTCGTGGTGCACAGTAGAAAGCAGAACTACCAATACTACATGGGCATTCTAGATCAACAGGAAGATGAACATGGCACACTTTTCGCTGTTACCTTCCAAAGAACAGGGCTGGCACGTCTGACTGCCATCAAGCCGACAACTGCCTCTCGAAGACTCGCGTGATGTCCTGCAGGGCTACGTTGCGCTGGGTTCTGCTGAGCTGTTTGAGGCCGGTTGTTTTTGGCCATGCTTGGTTTGCTTCCATGTCTTGGGCTCCTGGAATCTTTCGGAACAGTCCAACATAGTCCAAGCGTGTGAGTCGGAAGGAGCTGTCAAGGCGATCCCCGAACGCAGAATCTACCAGTGATTTTGTTGCCCTACAGTCGTGACACCCGTTTTGTCCTGAACAGGTTCAGCGGATTCTCACTGCGCGGGCATCTGGCGGTGATTTGGCTAAAAGCAGGCATGCTTCAAACGTGGCCGATGCCACCCCTCCCTGGGGGCTCGAAGGCTTCGGGAGTATCTCCGCAGGGAGGGCAGCATAAGTATCGGATGTGCTTAAACCTCCACATGCACCCAAAAGGACCCTAAGCACCCTAACCGTAAAGCCTCGTCGGTGGTGGGTCAACGTATTCTGCAATCCAATGAAGAAACACTGAGATGGGGCTGCAGCTGCTTAGATCACCAGCGTCAGCGTGTATAAACCGTCGATTCCGTACTGCAAACAAGGAATTGTTGCCACCAACAACAGCCTGAATAGCCTGAGTTGCGCACCACTTGAGACCCAATCTTAACAAGACTTTGCTGAGGCTACACGCAGCAACAAGCAAGTCGACTGGCTCAGTACTTCAAGACGATGCACTTCTTCCGGAGGCAGGGACCAGGGCAGGTTCCCAATAGCTTAGAGCTGGAAGCTCATCCCGGCTGTTGAGGGCAGATGCCCATTGCGCCCGAAACTCCAACTACGCCCTAAGTGGAAAACCCAAGTCTTTCACCCCCTATACTCGCTCGCGTGCAGTCACTGAATCACAAAACTCATGCCACTGTCCATGGCCTTGATAATTACCTCTACTATTTTGGGGGTTCCTTATTGTAGCTATAAGACCATAAGTATAATATACCCCAAAACCCTATTGGAGCCTGCGAAGTGATCCCGTCCGTCTCCGCTTTTGCGCACCTTCGTCCTCTCGGAGGCTCGCGTCCGATCAGCTCCTGGAGCTGCTGAAGCACGCGGAGTTCTTGGATGTGGAGCTCGGCGAAGCTCAGCGGAAAGTTACGGTTTAAGGTTTAGGGTTTAGGGCTTAGGGGTAATATCCCTGAATTCTTGAACCCTGCAGCCCAAGCCCGAAAACCCTACATCTAAACCCGCCCTACAACCCTGAAAGCCGTAGTGCCGTAGTGTTGAAGCCAGCGATCATGCAAAGACCTGAACATGCCGTAGCGACCCGAACGCAGCTGTCAGCTTAGGAAATGATTTACAAGGATGGCGACCCAATCGGCCATGTGCTTCTTGGCTTCGTTTGGTATGCTGGGATGTAAGGTTTAGGGTTTAGGGTTTAGGGTGTAGGGTTGTAAGGGTATAACTCGGCTTGATTGTATCATGTGGCTTTTCTGAAGGTGTTCCCAAATGTCCCATCTGCGCTGGACCCTACTCGACCCTACATCCTAATCCCCCCTTAGCCCTAAACCCTATGTAACCCCTTGATCATAGACAGCACTCTAGGAAGTCGAGTGACTTCGAACTGTTACGCTTAGGTGTTTGGGATTTTACGGTTTAATGGTTCTAGAGTTTTGTTTGTTCAAGGGTTTTTGCTTTAGGGTTCGGCGCTGACGGTCTAGGTTTGCGGGCTTGGATTCTCAAGGTACGTGGTTGTCAATGGCTCCGTCACCATCGAGCGGGCATTGGAGGGCGCAGGCTGGAGATGTCGTGGCTGGAGATCTCGATATATTTAAGTCGCCTTAAAGCCAGCTCTGTAGGATGACGCAACCTGAAACAACGTTTGTATAAATGGTGGAAGTTGGTACCAAGAATTCATAGCCTTCGCAATCAGAAGCTTTCCGATCTCTGCCCTCAGACCCTACACCATGAACCTGTGCCCTCAGATGGCGTCCGTGTCTTCGCCACCAGCGTCTTTGACGGCCGTGCCTTCGGCGACGGCTGGGACGGTGGCCGAAGTCGGATATCTGCCTGCAGTTCGTTCCCATAAAAGGAAACCTTCCAGGAATCCTAAAGGGAGCTCTCCATGTTGGCTCTTCAGTCAACTGCTCTTCATCTATGGGTATGGTACGTCGTTGTGTTGAGAGTATCTTCTTGTTGCAAAGCCCTAAACCCTAAACCCCTAAGAGTCACCTTGCTAGCTCAGGGCGTCCACCGATGTGCGCTGGACCACGGCCGTGGCACAGGACGAAGGGTTGGGTCAAGGCCGAGCTTCGGGTGGGGTGTACTTACGGCGTAGGGTTCTGTCTGTTGGCATTTGGGCCAAAAGAGCTTCGAAAAGCCGGGATGGTTTGGCAGAAGCTGAAACTGTCACATGTGAAAGGCTACCTAAAGGATCATAGGACTTAGTAACTAAGGTGATTATTACGGTAACTATACTTACAACTACGTATAACCCCAGTTCAGGTACTTATAACCATACTTACTAAGTCCCATGATCCTTGAAGTACCTAGCTGTTGAGATGGCAAGTCAACCGGAGAAGTTGCAAGCTGCCTGCAGGCATCTTTCAGGGACAGGAATTGCTTCTGAACTCGAGCCCAAAACCCGCCCTGAGGTTACAACTAGGGAACCCTAATCGGGGTTATATAGCGCCGCAGCCTGCCGAACCTGAAGCTTGCAGGAGAGATCGCTGCTGCTGCGCTTCAGCACGCCAGTCTACATGGAAGTCCTTCAGAAGGTCTTGGATTTGGCCCTAAGCCCTAACTGAGCCCCGAGGGCTTATGAATTGTGGTGGGATGTTGTGTTACACCCGAGCATGTCGCAGAGCCAGTCGATGGTCAGCGCCAGGGTTTAGGGTATGTCTTATGAACCCTAAACCGTACACCCTGCTCATGGGCCAGGACGACGTGTGCTCAGAGAATGCATCGCGACTCAAATCCTTGCCCTTCCTCTCCGAATGCAGCAACCTGGCTCGATGATGTGACGAGTCCTTGCTCTTAGAGCATTCTCAGCCCCATGAAATGCACAACCTAATCTCAGGGGTGTAGGGCTTCAAGGGCTCAGAGCCCTAAACCTACACCAGCAGGCCGAAAAAAGAGCGCCAGTATCCCGTGCATCGCTGCTGCAGGCGCCAGCGAGTTGGAGATGTTGCTCATGACCCTGGAGACCGGCTCTTTGGCCCGAAGAGCTAAGGTGGGAGTTTCCGAAATAAGGGGGTAC